TACAGCATTTTTCTGAAATCACAGATCAAGCAGATTGAAATCACAACCAAGGCTTCAATATGCGTTAAAACGTGCAGGAAAAATCTAGTATTTTGGTATTGAGACTAGATGGTTCCCTCCACAAGGTCCTCTAGGTGAGCATGAGGCTTGTTGGCATTGAGGAACAACAGCTCACACCAGAGCTCATATAAATCAGGAGTTTAGAATAAATCAGGAGGAAATACACAAGGTTCTTTCTGCACTGAGCCCACCTACATATAAATATTCCATAGATGTGGCTAGTTATAAAAAATAAATAAATAATAATAAAGAATTAAACCCAAATCAGGTCTGCTGAAGATTTCCTGACAGCAGAACCATTCCAACATGCTCCTACCTGGGGCAGGTTGTAGACGTGGCCGTGATAGATCAGCTCATAGTGGGGTGGGTTGATGTTGCTCTGGTAGATGCAAAACAGGTTTTCATTTGTCATGTCTGGGAATCAAAGTTTTAAAAGAAAAGAGGGATTTTTTAAGGGTGCTGATGTGATGCAAGCTGTAAAAGCAGTTGAAGCAGCAGCCCAAGAAAGGCAGTACCTGGTTTATCTGTTGTCCGGATGAAGTACTGGGAAGTGAAGGTTTTGCCATTGGGATACTTGGGGCTAGGTGGCAGTCTGGAGTCAAGGTAGGTGCAGAAGATGTGCATAAGGATCTGTGCAAACAAACCCAAATCTCACTTTAACAGCATGAAAAAGACCATGGAACAAAGGGCTACAACACAGCAGCTTCCTTTGCATAATCTCAGACACAAGAGCATATATAGAACCTCATGAGGTCTGGGGGAAATTGATGCTTTATATCAGATATAATGAGACTAACATTACTGCAAAGGAAATAAATGTTAAATGTTTTTTGAGTAAGTTAATACCAAGGCTTCAAGACAAGTGTTTGCATTAATTTTCTCTGTGTTCTATCAGAGCTTCTTTCCTGGAATCTTTGGAAGTTTTGCATGTTGTCCAGCCCTTCCTCTCCTAGCTGGTTTTGGTAAAAGACCATGAGGTCCACGGGTGATGTTTGGTGTTAATGATCGTTACCACCTTCAAGTTGTCCTGCTCCCTTGTCTGCCAAGGCAGCCAGAGCTGCTTCCCAGCTTGTCAGCCCCAAACAGAGGGAATTTAATTTTCTAACTGTGGGGATTACTATTTCAAGACAAATTTTGTTCAGCTTTAGCTTCCACCAGTTCAATCTTGTTCCATCTTCAGCAGCAAAGTGCTGTAAAGCTTTTACGTATGGATCTCCTGGTTCTTCTTCCCAACAACTGAGTACCTATATAGTGAAAAAAGATT